ATCTCTCTTTCGTTTGATATCCAAAAAAGAAAAAAAGAAAAAAAAAAAGAACGATTCACTGGGAAATATAGATGTTTGAGTTTGATTTTTAAGTCCTTGGATTTGTTGGCAGTGTACTGGGAGAGCTCTTATTGTGACTTGTCAAACTTTTGTTTCTCTTGCTAATTGTCTTTGTTAAATATGCTCTATCATGCTTCTTTCCGATTCTAATTTATTTGATTAGCTTGTTGCCATGGAATTGAGTCGATGTGGTTTTGGTTCCATAACAGTATACCTATATTATTTAAGGAATTTTACTTGATTTAAACTTAATAAATGAAGGCTTGGAATTAAGTTGGTACTCATTTTATCTGAATGTAACATTGTTGCCAACAATATAAGCAAGCCACATTATTCATACACACTAGAAAGATGCACCGAGTGCTACGCACAGTGAAGGAGCTCAGGGGCAATGGCGCACAACAGGAACTCGCGGGGCGGGCGCGGCGATGGACTCGCGAGCGCGAGTTCTGAAGTCTGAAGTTCCTTGTATACTCCCCAGTCGGCCGTAGCTCGCGTAAGCGGATTCGCGCGCGCGAACTAGCAACAGAGAATAGGTCCCTTAGCTCGCGGATTCTTGGTGGCTCGCAAACAGGAATTCGCGTGCGCGAGTTCCCAGGATGCTGAGTGCTGGTTCGATATTTTTTTTGGTGGCTATGGCTCGACTTTTAAGGCTCTAACTCGTCGCACATTTCGCCGATCGACTTGAAACTTCGACTCCGTTAATCAACTCTTTTTCTCTTGTTCACGGATAACATAACAAAAATTCACCGAACAACTTCTACGAATAAATACTCGGGACGGTGCATCACGACATGGCTATTTCCTCCTTCTGAGCCTACATAACACCAAAACGCACAAGGGAGACAGAAAAGTACACGAATACGACTCAAAAACAAAAAAGAACAAAAATGGACCGGGACACACAAACCGAACCTAAAGAGATTCAACTCAAGCAAATAAAAACACAGAGAGTTATAGATATAGAATTGTGGCACTGAAGTCTAACTAACATTGATATGTTCATTTGAAAAACCCCGTATCATTTTTAATTATTTATTATGAATATATATGTAGGTATCATGTATTTATTAGCAAACCTCAAATGTTGTGGTTGAATAAATTAATAAAATGTCTACTAATAAAATAGAATGGCCACTAAAATAAATGTTAAGCTTACTACATAATTAAAGAATCATCTCTAATGTTCACAAATCTCAATTTTATTTAATTGGCCAAAACTTAATACTTCTAATTAAGAAAGAAAAATAAATGTTTTACTCGGAATTAATAATTTTGTTTTTGCTCTACTCACTTTTTTTTGTTAGAATATTCACTTGTGAGTCCTTCATAAACAAGGACGGAGCCAAGTATTGGTTGGCCTGGGCTCTAGCCCGGGTAGATTTCTGGAGGCCCTATACATATATGTATATATAATTACATATAATCCTTTTGTTATCTATAGACAAGCCTAAATTCCATTTAATTAATAAATTAAGTGAGCAAATTTTTCCACTAGTAGCTCAATCAATTTATTATGTATTGAGTAGTTGCTCTAAATTTATAGTATAGACCAATTTTAAGTTTAAATGATCTTCTTCTATAGTATAGACCAAAAATTTAAGTACTTCTTTGCGATTTAAAATGATTGTTGAACAATCTAAATTTATTTTTCACTTTCATCTCACACATTTTTATTTATTTATTTATTATTTTTTTTCTATTTCCACGCTTTCATAATGAATGTTGGATGTCTTTTTAATCTCAACTCTTTAATCTTATGAATTGATTATTGAAAGTTATTTTGGGTTCCAGTTTAGAGCAAATTTTGACTACTTTTAGTTTATGTTCTAATGCCGCCGTTCTTTTTATTATTGTTTTGTGATTTTAAGAGTTCGTTGTTTATTAACACTAGAGCTAAATTTACCAGTATATGAAAAAAATAAATTCAAAAAAGAATCCGTATATTACTGTTAATCCTAGCATATTATTGTTATTGTTATTATTTATATGTTTAGATAATTAATTTAACTTTTTCCCTGCAATTTATGTCAAGTTATTCTAATATATATATATATTTTTTTCTTTTCCCACTACAATGTTATTATTTGCTTTTCCCCCTACAAATTATTTACTTTTTCCCCACAAATTCAAATTATGTATATCATTTTTTGTTTATTATTATTTTTTTTTTCTATCAAGTTATTCTAATAAAAATTAAAAGCTTCTTGGGAATAACTACTATATCTATCATATTATTACATATTATTTTATTATACTTGTAGCCCGGGTAACTTGTAAATTCTAGCTCCGCCCCTGTTCATAAGAAAGCTCAATCCCAAACTATAAACAGACTCCCATAAACGGGTACATGCGAGTCCCATAAACTGTCACTGTGATCAGTTTTATGAATATTTAAATACAAAATCAACAATTTAACATAAATTACAGACGTGGTTTAGTGGTTTAAAACTGGTAGTTATGTATTGATATTTAATGATAAGATTTGGAATCCCAATTATTTCGTGACAACCAATTATTTCAACTATTTCGTGCAAAACAAATTATTTCTTTAATATTAATTACACATTACACATTAGAAAAAAAAAGTCCAATCATATATGGATTCTTCACGGTGCCCTTGAATGAAATTTCGCACACAACACTATCCAATTTCAAATTTTAGGTACTAAGATCATGTCTACAATTATAAAAATTAAATTAAAAAAAAAATGAGAGTTAATTCTAAAATTGATTGCGAAATAAAATATTTAATATGGTGAATTATTGATGAATGTTTTTTTTAAAGCACATAAAATAAAAATATAACTAGGTAGTCATTAAAATAAATTTAGAAAAATAATAAATGTCCTAACATCCGAAACAATTCATAACGAACCGAACCGTCCCGATAGTCCTGATTATCAAAATGAAACAAACAAAAAAATTAATATCTCTGAACAGACGTACGTTTCTGAAGATCAAAATTTTTGGTCTCCGAATTGTGGTATGGTTCCGAAGATTTATCAATCTCCGAATCGTACCGACCCACGCTCACCAATAACACGAGAGGGCTCCCACGGGATTGTCACTAGTGTGTGTGTAAAGCCAAACTATGGGTCAATCTTATTGGTTTACAATTTCTTAGAATTTTGATTAACCAACACGAACAAAAAATCCATTTAAAGAGCACATGGGAACCAATTTCTCCTTAAAATGGAAGATCTACATTGGCATTAAATTACTCGAAAATTAAGCGATCTAATAGAAATAAAGTATCATAAAATCAAAATACTATGTATTTTTATATAATTGTATGTATATATATTATACTAGTTATCATCCTGTGCACATGCACAGATATACATAAAATATTAAGTAATATGTGTGAATTTAATATTAAAATTATAGATGATAAACATATCACATTAATTCTAGATATAAACATATCACATTTTCAAGATATGTGAATTTAATATTAAAAT